TACTGGTTTTTCTTGTTATTTCAAAGGAAATAGAAGAACCCATCATGTTAGCTGTGGAATTGATTTAAGTAGCTATAATGAAGCCAAGATTAAGCGTAGGATTAGGAAAGGGTTGAATTCTGATGGGGTTATTGAAGTTTTGAGGTCATACTCTGACCCAATCGAGGCACTTGCGTTCTTTAAATCAATAGCCCAACAACCCAAGATCATTCATACCACTGAAACCTGCAATTATATGCTTGATATTCTCAGAATCAATGGGAAAGTTACAGAAATGTCAATGGTATTTGATTTGATGCAAAAACAAATAATCAAAAGAAGCCAAGAAACCTACGTGACAATTTTCAACGGTTTGGACATTTTTGGAGGAATTAAGCGAGCCCCAGTTGCTCTTGAGAGGCTGAGTCATGCTGGTTTTGTCCTAAATGCCTTCTCTTACAATGGGTTGATCCACCTTTTGCTTCAATCTGGGTTTCAGAGAGAAGCCATGGAAGTTTACAGACGCATGGTCTCTGAAAACATAAAACCCAGTTTGAAAACTTACTCTGCTCTCATGGTTGCCTTTGGAAAGAGAAAGGATATCAATACTGTTATGTACCTTTTACATGAAATGGAAGCTTTGGGATTGAGGCCTAATGTTTATACTTATACAATTTGTATCAGAATATTTGGAAGGTGTAGAAAGATAGATGAAGCGTTTGGGCTTTTAAGAAGAATGGAGGGAGAAGGGTGCCAACCGGATGTTATTACTTATACTGTCCTGTTGGATTCCCTTTGTTCTTGTGGTAGATTAGCTGATGCAAAGGAGTTGTTCTATCAAATGAAAAGCGGTAATCACAGGCCTGATAGGGTAACATATATCACCTTGATCAACCGGTTTGGTGATCTTGGGGATTTGGGTTTCGTTTGGGAGCTGTGGAGAGAAATGGAAGCCTATGGCTATGGCACCGATGTGGTTAGCTTCACGCTACTTATCAATGCTCTATGCAAAGTGGGAAGAGTGGGTGAAGCACTAAAAATGTTAGATGTGATGGAGAAGAAGGGTATATCGGCAAATCCACATACTTATAACACCTTGATATTGGGACTTCTCAAGGTTGATAGACTTGGTGAAGCTCAAGAGCTCTTTGAGTTTATGGGTCTCCATGGTCCTCAACCCACTGTATATACTTATATTATTTTCATTGATTATTTCGGGAAATCAGGGTACCCTCAAAAGGCACTAGAAATCTTTGGGAGGATGAAGAACAAAGGAATTGTTCCTAATGTTGTTGCTTGTAATGTATGTCTACATAATCTTGCAGAACTAGGTAGACTTGGGGAAGCCAAAGATGTTTTCCGGGAGCTCAAATTGAGTGGCTTCTCACCTGATGCAATCACCTATAACATGATGATCAAATGCTATGGCAAAGCAGGGAAAGTGGATGAAGTAGTCAAGTTGTTCCATCAAATGATGGAAAATGGGTGTGACCCAGATGAAATCACAATTAATACTTTGATTGGGGTTCTCTATAGAGATGATAGAGCAGATGAAGCATGGGATATGTTTCATAAAATGAAAGATATGAAACTCAAACCCAGTGTTGTGACTTATAACACATTGTTGGCTGGGTTGGGTAAAGAGGGTAAAATTGAGAGAGCAATGGAGTTTTTCAAGCGAATGGATCAATGTGGGGGTCCTCCAGACACAGTGTCATATAACACAATAATGGATTCTCTTTGTAAGGATGGGAAAGTTGGTTTGGCCTTAAATATGTTCTATGAGATGCCTGAAAAGGGATGCGATCCAGATGTTTCAACATATAACACTGTCATCCATGGCTTGGTTAAGGAGGAGAAGCTCGATGAAGCACTATGGTTCTTCAGTCAAATGAAGAAAACTCTTTCTCCTGATCTGATCACATTGAATGCTATCTTGCCCATGATTGTTAAACATGGGCAGATCAAGAATGGTTTACGAATTCTTATGGATTTTAATTCAAAGGAGGGTTCTCAGTTAGTCAGTTCTTCTTGGAAAACTCTTATGGAAAGGATTTTAAAAGAAGCTAATCTACACATGGCGATAACTTTCTTCTATGAGATTTTAGATGGTGGCATTTGCCAAGATGATTCCATCCTGTGTCCTTTTATCGATTCTCTTTGTAGGCAGGGAAAGGCACTCGATGCTCACGAACTTTTTGGTAGGTTCAAGAGTTATGGAATTTTACCTAGTACCCACGCATATAACATTCTCATTGACGGGCTACTGAAAGCTAGTTGTTTCGAAATGGCTTGGGGCCTTTTTGAAAAGATGAAGAAGGTCTCTTCTACTCCCAACATGCAAACCTACAATTTGTTACTTGATGCACTTGGAAAATCTGGGAAGATCGAAGAGGCACGAAAGCTTCTTGAAGAGATGCATATTAAGGGGATTAAAGGGAACACTATCACTTACAATATAATGCTTTTAGGATTGGTTAGGTCCAATAAGTTAGACCAAGCTATAGAATTCTATTACGAATTATTGAGCAGAGAGTTCTCCCCATCTCCTCGTACTTATGGCCCTCTTATTGATGGGCTTTCAAAGGCAGGCAGGGTGGATGAGGCAAAGGAACTATTTGAGGAGATGAGGGAATATGGGTGCAAGCCTAACCGTGCTGTATATAATATTTTAATAAATGGTTTTGGAAAGGTGGGTGACCTAGAAAATGCTTGTGAATTCTTCAAAAGGATGCTTAAAGAGGGTATACAACCTGATCTGAAAACGTACACCATCCTTGTGGATTGTCTTTGTATGGTGGGGAGGGTGGATGATGCTCTCCAATATTTTGAGGCATTGAAGATAAGTGGCCATGAACCTGACCTAGTATTTTATAACCTTGTCATCAATGGATTGGGAAAAGATGGGAGGCTAGAGGAGGCTCTATCCTTATTTAAGGAAATGCAAAGCAAGGGTCTTTTGCCTGACCTGTATTCTTACAATGCTTTGATACTACATCTCGGGAGGTTGGGAAGGGTAGAGGAAGCAGGAGCGATGTATGAAGAACTCCAACGTAAGGGGCTTGAGCCGAATGTTTTCACATATAATGCACTTATTAGGGCATATAGCATTGCGGGAAACACTGATCATGCATATGCTGTGTATAAAAAGATGGTGGTTGGTGGTTGTGAGCCGAATATGGGGACGTTTGCGCAGTTGCCGAATCAATCATGAGAGGCATTAGGTAACCTTCTCAAGATAAGGTGATTTTGTCTACTGTATTCTTCAACCAAACACCTGTATTATAGCATTTTTTTTTGTTTCTCATTTTTCACCTCTGTAAATCATTGCATAATTCCATAAGAGTAACATGTGGCATTCCAGTTTTTTTCCTCCCTTTCTTTATGTGACTCTTTATTATTATTATTATTTATTGTTATTATTATTATTATTTATTGTTATTATTATTATTATTTGCATGACTTCTCTAAGCTTCATGTGAAAAGTTTTGGTCATATAATGTACACCCCTCAAATTGACTTGAATTACATGGATCTCTTTATACCAACTTTACAATGTACCTTAAACCCACCATCCCACCATTTCTTCCTGATATTTGGACATTTCCAACCTGCTTCTGTATGTTAACAATAGATGAAATGATAACGAAATCTCTTACCAACTCTCTATGCATTTGTAAATGATAGTAGCATGCATGCCATTTTGTGTGGATATGAGGGCTACGAATGAGGAGAAAGGCATCAAAATTTACATTTCTCATATACATTGTGCAAAAACTCAGGTCGGGCTTGGGACTTGGCCCCTGCTCAAGTTGAGTAACTCGAGGGAGTCTGAGTGGACTAGTTGTGTACGAGCCTAAAAAGGGCTCAAATTGCAGAAAAAATTACAAAAATATTGTTAAAAATAAAAAATCGTAAAAAATGATGAAGAAGTAATAAACAATATGAAAAATATACAAAAAATAAAAAAAAAGTATATATAGAAGAGGGAATACGGAAAAAAATGATTTATAACTTGAAACAATTTAGAAAAATCCAAAAAAGGGAAAGATAGAAGAATAGCGTGTATCATAAGAAAAATTCACAAACCATCATAAAAGATATAAACGCTATATAGAAACATAGTTCCGTATAATTTATTAGCCATTTAGTAAAAAAATTTATTTTTTAAGACCTTTTTATAGTCTGGAGTTTACCAGTAGAACTCTCCTCGCCAGGGTGCCGAGGCCAAGTTACTTGGCTGAGTCTGAGTTGACTCAGCCGAGTTTTTTTACACCACCTGCATATTTCTAGTACAAAATCACTTGTTCCCTTAAAAACTCTAAAACACAAACTTGAGAATATTTTTTTCTATATCTTACTCCATTAGATTTCGGAAGTACATCAAATTCTTCTTATATCCACAAAGTGATTTTTATCATATTTTAAATATGCCTTTACCTTACTCACTTTATTCCATCCATATACACTTAAGGCTACTGGTGATATCATAAGTTTCTAACTAGAGATATTCAGCAGGCTAATTTCATTAATATTGTTGTTAGCATTTCGTTATTAATGATGTGTTCCCTCCATTGTTATAATTGTTATGATTAATAGGATTTTGAATGTCGCATTTTATGTCTTTTCAACTTGGTTATCTTAATGTATGCATGAGTTAAGTTGGCTTCAATTATTTGAAAAAGTTTTATGATGCACTATATTCATGTTGAATGGCATCACTATTTGTTTGGGTAATTTCAATTATACTTTATTTTCTATTGTTGATATGATTAGGCTGGGAATGGGTGGCTTGGACCGGCCAGTCCTGAAAAACTAGGGCCTGGGCCATAAACATGCCCAAGGGCTGGTCCACCACGGTCTGGTCAAGCCCAATCCATCCCTTTGTTTTCTTCATATATTTTGTTTTTTTCTGAATTTGTTGGGTCTGGGCCTGGGCCCCTTCGACCCGATCCGGACAATTGGGCCTGGGCTAGCCCCATAAGGACCCTGGCCATGATTGGGCCAGGGATGGCCTAGCCTATTGCCACCCCTAACATGCATATACTTCAGAATCAAGGTGTAATAGTCTTTTTTCTATTTGTACAAGTAATCATGACTGATTGAAATAACCCAAGATATGATGGTGCTAATCAAAAGTGAAGTTGGATATTTCCTTCAAGTGAGATAAACAAATGTAGACTTTCCATATCTGGACCAAATGGAAAGGCACTTTGTTGTCTTCTCCTATCTTTAGTGATCAACATGGTTGAGCTATCTTGATCTAGATTTGGGGAAAAAACTCAAAATAGTGAGCTCAAAATTTAGCAATCTATCATATACATTTAATATTCCTAGGTGAACCACAGAAAACCACCCATAAACTTGGGTCCAGCATCATAAATGTCTTGAAGTCCTGCTTTCCTAGGTTTTCTCGATCGTTTCCTTGTCTTATTTTTGGTTTTCACACGACTACATTCTGGAAATATCCTAGTAAACTCTCTTTTTTGATAAATAATATTCTAGCAAGGTCAAAGTAAACCCAATCTGGAATCCTCGAGACACAACCTAGCCTTAGGCTTAACCTAAAAACTCTCCCATTTGGACTTTTAATGCCTAGAAATCTTCAAACTGGACATTGTTGACTTTGAGAAAAGAGCAATGCATGGCATCAATGCAAGATCCTTGACTGATCATGGTTGGATTTGATTTGAAATTGCTAGTGCAAAATGAGGCCTATGATAGTGTAGTCTCCTCCACTTATTGGGTCCTTGGAGCTCAATTTTGACGACAACTCAAAATGTGAGTGGTGTTCAAGGTCACCTTGTTCTTGTTCACAAAAGGTGAAGTAACATAGCCCAGAAAAAGGTGAAGTAATAAGATGCTATGTGGATCATGTATGTCTGGAGTATTCTACTTGGGCTGAATTTCAAGAATTGTAAATTGCCATTGGGAATTATGCATCTGTCTTAGTATTTTCATTTGTTTGTTGAAAGAGTTTCTAATGCATGTATAAGTTTTGTGGAGTCTTAACCTAGACTTTGACTTAGTAGATTTTGGAAAAGGAGTGTTACATAGTATGTTTTGGGTTTGCACTTTTCAGTTCTTATTTGAGTGGGTTTGTATCTATTGATGCAAACGAATCATCATTTGATTGAAAATCTACCAAAAAGAAAAACATAAAAACATATGTTGATTATTAGCTGCTAAAGATGGCTACGAGTTTGCAACTAACTAAAATACTGTGAATTGGCAAATGGGAAAACAGCCCTTGGTTGACATTTACCAAATCGTTTGTGAATCAATTCCTGCTCATTTCCAATCAAAAGGTCGCCTCATTTGTTCCTTAGAGGCATATAACTGCTCATCTCTATGGGTCTCCAAGGACTCAGTACTTGGAACCATAGAAATCCAACCATCTACAGCGGGTTTTCTTAATTCCCTTCATGGGCTGCATTTAGCCCGGTGTCAACATGTCAGTTGTTTATTTAGAACAAAGGCCTGTATAGCCTCTTGATCCTAAGACCCATATCCATATTGTTTGGCTGAGAATTTGCCTTGGAATGGTGCTACTTTCAAGTAACTAATCACCTATTCAAACTCTTCATCATCATCGTCAAAGTCTTTTCCCAACTAACTGGGGTCGGCTAACCCATTCAAACTCTTGCATGATGTAATTTAGAGTCATATGAGTACTGTGTAGTTACACATGATGTGCAGCATGTAATCGTGAATTTTTTGAGAGTCGAAAAAAATAGATGTCTTCTTCTTCAAAGATTCTCCAACCAATGAGACGGTAAAAATAGATAGCCATCCTATTTGGCACCCCATAAGGAAAGGTGGATAGGATGGTTGTCCTCACCACCCACATGGCCACCACACAGATAAATACATATACACATACATACATAAACATGTACACACACAGATATACATATATTAGGTGATTGATTACATGCAATCATGTTGATCATGTTTTGTTTGCTATATGTATATCATACTCAAGAAAGCCACATGGGGCATAGTTTGAACAAAAGTGGCTTCAGACCAATTTGGCCAATAAATCATAGAGGGATTAATCATGGATTCTAATGGGTCCGTGTTTTATGAGAGAGAGAGAAGCAAGTGCAATTTTATTCATTCGATAATTTTCGTGCGACATCGTAGGCTGTCCTGTTTTGCAAAGAGAGAGAAGAGGTATCTGTGATTTGATTTAATAGACGGCCGCTGGCACCCCGCCCCTAGTGTAACATGGTGGGTTGTTGCATAGCTTTTACCAAACACTGAATTCACATGTTAGAAGATGGTGTAAATGTACAAAGGCTTTTAATAGTCTTGCTGTAAATAACGATAATAAGTTATCAGGAAATTACTCCTGTGAAGTGTCACCAGTAATGGGTTCTGACATCTGAGTAGGGTATCTTTCAGTAAACATTGAAATGTTTACAGTTTTTTTTTTTAATATTATATGTGGAATTTTTATCTCTCTCATTTAGGGTATAACAGCAGGCCTTTCCATTATAGAAATCTGATTTCACCATGAAAATATAAAGACAGAGAAACTGCACCACAAAACTGAATGGTGCACAGATTGTGCTTCCTCTGTAGCTTTATCCAGATAAATATGGGATTCTTATCTCTATATGTTAGAGAGAGAGAGAGAGAGGTGCACAGGTTGTGTTTTCTATGTAGCTTTATTCACATAAATATGGGATTCTTATTTCTGTTTTAGATAGAGAGAGGTGTATATGTCTGACTCGAGAAAGGGGGAGAGACAAAGAGAGAGGGGGAATATGTATGTGACTCCCCGAGGGACTATGTGTGTGTATCATAGAGAGAGAGTTAAAGTTAAATGTCAGTGACTCGAGAGAAGGTGAGAGGATATGAGAGAGAGATAGGGGTATATGTCTGTGACGAGCGAGAGAGAGAGGTATATGTATGTGACTAGAGAGAAGGGGCCGAGACTCGAGAGTGGGCATGCTCGGACTCGATCCGGGACCAGAGGGGTAGAATCGATCCGGATCGGGGTATGGGTCTAAAAATTGGAGTCGGTGGAACCCGAACACTATTTGGGTCTGAGTCTTATAATATTTTTTGGGTCTCAATATATAAAATATATTTAAATATAATTACATATATAAATATTTTAGTTTTTGGGTTAGGTCCAGTTGGATCCGGGTCCCATATCATTTTTGGAGCTGGCTCCAGCCCATACCCGACCTGACCCGTTGGCACTGGTGTGTCACTAGAGCGCGGCTTTGTGCGGTGGCAGTTCTGTAAAATTCGTAGTTTTCTGGAGCCTTTCGTGTTGTGCGCCAAACAAGATCTCGTATGCCCCACAAAAGTAGTTATGCTACTACAAATGCATCGGTGTTGAACCTTCCAAAAAAAATAAAATAACCGTCTTATATTCAACCACCCATCCATCCCGCCCCTAACTTCTACGAAAATAACAAAGCTACCCTCACTTGCAACTCGCCATTGACAACGAAAAGAAAAGAACAAATTCGAAGACAAGGCCAGCCGCGATACTTATGGACTTTAAAAGCTTAATTACATGCATTTGTCGTCTTTATCGAGCACTCCACGTTGCTCTCTCAAAAGAGAACTACGGGGGGCAATCCTTTGGCGCCTCACTTCGAAGTTTAAACAATTTAATGGCCTTTCCTCCCTTTCTCTCTCTAAAGTCCCTCTCTTTCTCTCTAAAACTCTTCCTTTTTCTCTTTAAATTTAGAAACGTTTCGATCCATTATTCTGAATCTTTTCACCCTCCATTTCTCTGGAATTTGAAATGTAGGACCTAAACCACCACCACCTTTGTGCACACCGCCAAAACGCACTTCTCTTCCCCTCTTTCTCTCTCTATAAAACTTCCAGACCGTATCCATGGCAGACCTCAAAGAGCCTCTCCTTCCTCCCAGGCCAGGCTCATCCTCTTGTGACCAGCAATCTCGCCCCTCTGCTTCGGGTCGGCCTCTCTTTCAAGGCATGGATTTCTTAGGGCTCAAAAAGAGAAGCCAAGGCCCCAGATCATGGATCAAAGTTGATTCATCTGGTAATTCTGAGGTGCTGGAGGTCGACAAATTCACCATGATGAGGCATTGTGATCTTCTTGCTTGCGGTCTTCGATTGCTCGATCCCCTCTTTGTTTACCCATCAACAATTCTTGGTAGAGAGAAGGCCATAGTGGTTAACCTAGAGCAAATTCGATGTATAATAACAGCTGATGAAGTTCTTTTTCTCGCTTTTGTGGATAATTACGTATTGCGATATGCACAATTGTTGCAGAAGAGATTAACTATGAAGAATGATATGGGAGTTGGGGATTCTTGGGCACCAGTTGGTGGGGATTTGGTGAGAAGGGGGGCATGAATTTTGATGATTTCTTGGGGAGTGAATCTGCTGATTATTTACCATTTGAGTTTAGGGTTCTTGAGGTTGCCTTGGAAGCTGCTTGCACTTTTCTTGAATCTCAGGTATGAATATTTTTACTTTGTTTATTCATCATGAAAGAGATACTTCCTTATTTTCCTTTTCTTTTCTTTTTTTTTGCCCCCAGACCCAATACAATAACAAATTCTATTCAGTGGTTTGTGTCTTGTGCAATTTGAATATGTGGGTCTAACATGGATGGGTAGATTGAAGTGTTTTTTGTAGGTAGTCAAATAGATCGTTACATAGATTCATGCTTCTGTCGCCAATGGACATGAATTGTTTGCTCTTGCAGCGAGTTCTTGAAACAATCTGAAGATGGAAGGCTGAGTTGGATGTAAATTGAAATTTTTGCTATGAAATTGGTGGAATTTCATATGCATTCTTCCTTGTTTTTGCCTCATTTAAATAGTGCTTGCGGGGAGATTCCCAGTCTTGGTTGTTGAGATAATCCACTTCAATAGTATAGTTTGATTTTATGAGGAAGCGATTTAGGTGAGCCTAGGAGGTTCTAGGGTGGGGTAGGGTTGCACATGCCCACTTGTGACTCAAAACAGATTCTGTGACATGACTAATGGGGCTGGTAATTGTATAAGATTAGTTTTGCCACCCTCTTGAAAGCTTGGTGAGATTATGGAGGAGAGTTGGTAATTTGGGATATTTTCTAAATTTTGGATTCTCATTCCACACCATGTGCTGGGATGATATTTCAGATACTGACCTGTTGACTAATAGGAGAGTAGTTCTGATTTGTTCTTTTTTGGGAGTCATTCCTGTCGTTCTAGTCCTTAGATAAGAGTCTTGTATGTTGATTTGATGATCCAAAGTGATATCTTAAAAAGAAAGAGCTTTTATTGACTATCTAAATCTCATTTGAATCTCATCTTTAATTGCTTGCTTCTGTCGAAGGCAGCAGCGCTAGTGATCAAAGCATACCCTTTGTCAGACGAGCTGACCTCAAAGATCAGTACCCTACACTTGGAAGGTGTACGCCGATTGAAAAGCAGACTGGTTGCCTTGACTCGTAGAGTTCAGAAGGTGAGCACTCTCTTTTTTATCCTTTTTCTATCAATCTCTAAGAGGAAGTAAACTATAAATCCATAATTCAGTGAAGTAATGGACTATGGAAGATCCATTGGGGCCCCACAAAAGTGGAACCTCTGAGAATAAGACATGACCCTGATTGTGAGTGCACTATGCGATCCCTATCCATCATTCCATTGGGTGGTGATGACCCACCGGAATATGGTTTTCCATTGCCCAATGAATTGTATGTTTTTCTATCTTTTAATAGGGATCTAGGCATCAACCCATTGTCTGTTTCTACAGTGAAAGCTTTGTAGCATGCATGCCACAACTGTTTCAAAAAGCGGACCTCCCAACGCCTGAGCGGCCTCCTAAACGGATATCCCTTGGTGCCGCCTAGGTCGATATCCCTTGGCGCCTGCCTGAACATGCCTAGGCAGCCGCCCAGGGCCTGCGTCCCACCCAGGGGCAGAAATACGGCTCCTTGTGGGTATTTTTTGGTATTTTTTTTTAATACTAAAAGGGCAAATTGTGGGTTTTAGGTTCATTTGAAACCTAAAACCCATTAGAGGCTATTTTAGAGAGAGAGAAAACCCAAAAAAAAAAAAATTCTTACTGGGCCACCCAAGTTCTGGGTGCCCCACCTAGGCACTGGGTGGCCTGGACCCCCCCGACCGTCTAGGTGCCGCCTAGCGCTTTTTGAAACACTGCATGCCACCCTGCTTCTTACTCTTAAAGCTAATCATGTAGGTTCGAGATGAGATTGAGCAGCTTATGGATGATGATGGGGATATGGCTGAAATGTACCTCACAAAGAAGAAAAGGAGGGTGGAGAAGAACGTCAGCCTAGCAAGGAGCCGGCATGATTGCATGAAGAGCTCAGATAGCACCACTGAGAATATAGAGGAGTCCACAAAAGGTGAAGTGACTTAGCTCAGAAAAGGTACAAGTAATAAGATGCTATGAAGCAATGTTTTATAAAACGGTCCGCTTGGTACCTAGGCGGCCTAGACCAAAAATCCGCACGCCTAGATCTAGGCAGCCCTACACGGGCGGATGTATTTGGGCGGGTGCCCAGGCGGACGACCATGGCCGTAAGGCCTTTTTCTTTTTTTTAAACCGCCTAAAAGGGCAAAAAGCGTCATTTTGACCCCCCAAGGTTGTATAAAAACGTTATGGGTTTTTTTTTAACCATCAAAGTGAAAAAAAAAAACTACAGGGCTCCCGATGTTCTGGGCGCCAGGGAGGCCGCCTCAGGTCCACCTAGCGTTTTTTGAAACCTTGGTCTGGAGTCTTCTACTTGGGTTTAATTTCATGAATTGTAAATTGCCATTGGGATTTATGTAGCTGTGTTGATATTTTTATTTGTTTGTTGAAAGGGTTTCTAATGCATGTAAAGTTTTGTGGGGTCTTTACCTAGACTTTGACTTATTAGATTTTGGGAGGGCAGTGTTACATAGTATGTTTTGGGTTTGCACTTTTCAGTTCTTATTTTAGTGGGTTTATATCTATCGATCAAATTATCATTTGAATGAAAATATACCAAAGAAACATAAAAATATATGTTGATTGTTAGCTGCTAAAGATGGCTATGAGTTTGCAACTAACTAAAATACTGTGCATTGGCGAATGAGAAAATAGCCCTAGGTTGACATTTATCAAATCATTTGTGACTCAATTCCTGCTCATTTCCAATAAAAAAGTCACCTCATTTGTTCTTTACAGGCATATAACCACGCATCTCTATGAGTCTCCAAGGACTCAGAACTTGAACCACAGAAACCTAACCATCTGTTCCAGATTCTCTTAATTCATTTGATGGGGTTGCATTTAGCCTGGTGTCAACATTTATTTAGAACAAAGGCCTGTATAGCCTCTTGATCCTAAGACATATCCATGTTGTTTGGCTGAGAATTTGCCTTGGAATGGTGCTCACATTCAAGTAATTGATCACCAGGAAAGGGTGCAGGGTTGTGGTGGTAGCACCCCCATACCTAGTTATCAGGTTGGGGCTTTCAATCATGCTTACACCACCTAAGGACACCTTCAAAAAATGCTAATTCCCTAATCTATATGAAAAAATGGGTAGGGGCTGCATTCCATACTGAATTGCCCAAAAAAAAAGAGAGTAACTGATCACCCATTTAAACTCTTGCATAACGCAATTTAGAGCCATAGGAGTGCTGTGTTGTTACACATAATGTGCAGCAGCTCTGTGAATTTTTTGAGAGTCAAAAAGGTCTAGATGTTTTCTTCTTCAAAGACTTTCCGGCCAATGAGACGCTAAAAATAGATTGCCGTCATATTTGGTTCCCCGTAAGGAAAGGCAAATAGGTTGGTTTTCCTCACCATGCACATGGCCAACACAGATAAATACGTATACGCATACATACATAAACGTGTACACACACACACATGTATATATATATATATCAGGTGATTGACTACATGCACAACCATGTTGATCATGTTTTGTTTGCTATATTTATATTATACTCAAGAACATGGAACCTAGTTTGATCAAAAGTGGCTTCAAACCAATTTGGCCAATAAATCATAGAGGACAGATCAATCACAGATTGTAATGGGTCCATATTTTATGTGTGTGTGTGAGAGAGAGAGGTGTAATTTGATCCATTCCAAAATTTTCGTGCGACATCACAGGCTGTCTTGTTTTGCAAAGAGAGAGAGAAGAGGTATCCGTAATTTGATTCATCAGATGGTCACTGGCACACTGCCCCTAGTGCGACATGGTGGGTTGTTTCATTGTTTTTATCGAACACCGAATTAACATGTTAGAAAGATGGTGTAAATGTACATAGGCTTTTAATGGTCTTGCTGTAAATAACGGGAATAAGTTATCAGGAAATCACTCCTGTGAAGTGTCACCGGTAATGGGTTCTGAGTAGGGTATCTTTCAGTAAACATTGAAAAGTTGACAAATATTTTTTTTTAGTATTATGTGGAATTTTTATTTCTCTCATTTAAGGTATAACAGCAGGCCTTTCCATTATAGAAATCTGATTTCTGTATGAAAATGCTAAGAGAGAGATACTGCACCACAAAACTAAGTGGTGCAACAGATTGTGCTTCCTCTGTAGCTTTATCCAGATAATTTTGGGATTCTTGTCTATATGTTAGAGAGAGAAAGGGAGAGAGAGGTGCACAGGTTGTGTTTTCTATGTAGCCTTATCCAGATAAATATATGGGATTCTTATTTCTGATTTAGAGAAAGAAAGAGAGAGAGATGTACATGTCTATGACGAGAGAGAGAGAAGGTAAGGTATATGTGTGTGACTCGAGAAAGGGGGAGAGAGAGAGAGGTACATGTCTATGACGAGAGAGAGAGAAAAAGTGAGGTATATGTCTGTGACTCGAGAAAGGGGGAGAGAGGAGGGGGTTATATGTCTGTGACTCGAGGAAGGGAGAGAGAGAGGGGGGTATATGTTTGTGGCTCAATTTTTTGTGCTGGACCCCTTGCTACACCTGCTGTGATCAAGAGAGCAAACATGTGTGTATCACTATTTTCGAGTTTGGGTCTGGTGCCTTCGGGTCGAGGTCCCATGTGAATTTTTTGGGCCCGACCCTTACCACACCTACTATAATGAACTATATTTTCGAGTTCGTGTCTGGTGCATTCGGGTTGAGGTCCCATGTCAATGTTTTGGGTGAACCCCTTGCGAATGAACGTACGTGAGTGGGGCGTTGTGCAGTTTTGTAAATTTTGATGGTTTTCTGGAGCCTTTCGTATTTGATATTGTGCGCCAAACAAGACCTTGCATGCCACATAAAAGTGATTACGTTAGTGGCACTAGTACAAAATCCAACGGTATCGCATCTCTGCTAAAAATAAACCTCGTATTTTCAACCACCCATCCTGCCTCTACGTTCCACAAAAATAACAAAGCTAGCCCTCGCTTCCCACACGCCATCAACGACGAAAGAAAAGAACAACTTTGAAGACAAGGCCAGCCGCGATATTTATGAACTTGTAAAGCATTTGTCGTCTTTATCGAGCCCTCCGCGTTGCTCTCTAAAAAGAGAGCTACGGTGGCATCGGCCCGCCCTTTCTCTCTCTAAAACTCAGAGACCCTTTTCATGGAAGAAAGACTCAATCCCTCGTAGAAAAGCCCATCTCTCAGCTTCTCTCTCTCTCAGTCTCTCTACACCCCGCAATATTGGACCTAAACCAGTTCTGCTCCCCTGTTTCTCTCTCCGGGGAACCTATCGTTCCGCTTCTCTTCCACCTTTCTCTCTCTCTCTCTAAAACTTAGAACTTTTCGACCCAATATTCTGAATCCTTTCACCCTCCATTTCTCTCTGGAATTTGAAATGTAGGACCTAAAAAACCACCACCTTTCTGCACACCGCCAAAACCCACTTCCTTCCCCTCTTTCTCTCTCTATAAACTTCCGGACCGTATCCATGGCGGACCTCAAAGAGCGTCTTCTTCCTCCCAAGCCAGCGACAGGCCCGTCCTCTCGTGACCAGCAATCTCGCCCCGCTGCTTCGGGTCGGCCCCTCTTTCAAGGAATGGACTTTTTAGGGCTCAAAAAGAGAGGCCAAGGTCTCAGATCATGGATCAAAGTCGACTCATCTGGTAATTCTCAGGTGTTGGAGGTCGACAAATTCACCATGATGAGGCGTTGCGATCTTCCTGCTCGCGATCTTCGATTGCTTGATCCCCTCTTTGTTTATCCATCAACAATTCTTGGCAGAGAGAAGGCCATAGTGGTGAACCTGGACCAAATTCGATGTATAATAACTGCTGATGAAGTTCTTCTTCTCAATTCTTTGGATAATTACGTTTTGCAATATGTACAAGAGTTGCAGAAGAGATTAACTATGAGGAATGATATAGCAGTTGGGGATTTTTGGGCACCAGGTGGTGGGGATTTGGTGAGAAGAAGGGGGGGCATGAATTTTGATGATTTTTTGGGGAGTGGATCTGCTGATTATTTACCATTTGAGTTTAGGGCTCTTGAGGTTGCCTTGGAATCTGCTTGCACTTTTCTCGATGCTCAGGTATGAATATGTTTCGTTTCCTTGATGCTCATGCATGAATATTTTTCCTTTGTTTATTCATCATAAAAGAGATTCTTCCTTCTTCTTCTTTCCCGACCCGATACAATGACAATTGCTATTCAGTGCTTTGTTTCTTGTGCTGTGGGTCTATTATGGATAAGTCGATTGAAGTGTTTTCTGTAGCTAGTCAAACGAATTGCTGTATAGAATTATCCATCTGTCTCCAATGGGAAGGCATTGTTTGTTCTTTGAGTGAGTTCTCGAAACAATCTGAAGATGGAAGGCTGAGTTGGATGTAATTTGAAATTTCTGCTATAAAATTGGTAGAATTTCATATGCATTCTTCTGCTTTTTGCCTCGTTTAAATAGTGATTGCAGGGATATTCCCAGTCTTAGTTGTCAATTGCTGTCATAATAAAAAAAATGTTATGCAAGATGGTGATTGCTGATGTTGCAGAGTTTTTAAGGAGAATAGCTTTCCTGTGAATGAGTGAGCCTCTTTCTAAGTTTTGTTCCTGAAGTTTTGAAATGTGATTTAATGGTTTTTCAGGCTGCTGTCAGGACTCCGTAGTTTGTTGTGAATAGCTGGTTTTAAATATTGGTATGCTAAATTCACATGCCTCCCATTGAAACCGAGTCGAAGATATGTAAACCAATCATCATCATCAACATCATCATCAGAGCCTTTTCCTAGCTAATTGGGTGTCGGCTACACGAATTTTAGTCTTCTATTCTGCTCTATTAAGGGTCATATCCTCAGTGAGACCATAAGTCCCGATATCTTTTCTCACTACTTTCAATCATGTCCTTCTGGGGTCTATCCCTTGCCTTCTTTGAGCCTTCTACTTGAACTAACTCACACCTCCTAACAGGTGTTGTAATAGGTTTACACCACCTATGGCCACCCCACTTAAGGCCACTCTCTCTCATCTTATCGCCTATCGGTGCCACATCTAAATTTTTTCGAATATATTCATTTCGAATTCTATCCCTTCTTGTCATGCCACTTATCCATCTCAACATCCTCATCTCCACTACACTCATTCTATGGTTATATTATTTTTTGACCACTCAACATTCTACCCCATAGGGCAAAGCTGATCTCACAACTATCATATAGAGCTTGCCTTCAGCTTCATTGGTATGCGGCAATCACATAAAATTTCGGTTGCACATCACCACTTCGCCTACCCAGCTCTAATTTTATGTGCAATATCTTGTACAATTTCTCCATTTTCTTGTATTATCAACCAAGATATTGAAACTGCGTTCTTTTTTGTATTTTCTGGCCGTCAATCTTAACTACTTTCTTGTCTCTACTCCTATTATTACTAAACTTGCATTCTATATACTTTGTCTTTGTCCGACTAATTTTAAAACCTTTAGATTCTAGAGTATCCTTTCAAAGTTCTCACTTCGTGTTGATGCCATTTTGGGTCTTATCAATCAAAACTATGTCATCTGCGCATCACATGCACCACGGTACCTCATCTTGTAGGTGCCTAATTAAGTCGTCCATAACTAAGACAAACAGGTATGAGCTCAATGCTAACCCTTGATGTAGAGCTATTGTCACCGAAAACTCATTCATCTCTCCACTAGTTGTTCGTACACTAGTTAGCACTTCATCGTACATATCTCTTACCAAATCGATGTAGTATCTGGAAACTCCTTTCTTTTCTAACACCCACTAAATCAATTCTCAGGGTACTCTATCATAAGCTTTCTCTAGGTCAATAGAGACCATGTGGATGTCTTTTTTCTTTGTCCTAAACTTCTCAAGCAGTTGCCTAAGTAGGAAAATAGCCTCGGTTGTTGACCTTCCTAGCATAAAGCCGAATTGGTTTTTTGATACACTCATTTCATGCCTTAGTCCTTGCTTAATCACTCTCTCCTAGAACTTCATAATGTGGCTCATATGTTTGATCCCTCTATAGTTCGTATACTTATGTTTGTCTCATTTGTTGTTGTAAATGGTACCACAATACTTTTCCTCCATTTGTCTGGCATTTTATTTGTTCTTAACACCTTATTGAACAATTTGGTCAGCCAGTCAATGTCAATTTCCCCCATCTACTTTCAAACCTCTTTCGGGATACCATCTGGTCCTAAAGCCTTTCCTATCTTCATCCTTTTCAAAGCTTCCTTCTCTTCTGATATCCTAATCTTACAAATGTAGCTATGACCTTCGCCCTCATTTATGCCAACGGTTCCTTCTACCGCTATGTTTTCATTGTGTTCGTCATTTTATAATTTTTAAAAATAAACTCTCCACTTTTCGTTGATCTCTTCATCCTTCACTAAGACCCTTTGATCCTCACTTTTAGTGCATTTAATATGGTCTAGATCCATGCGCTTTTTCTCTCACATTTTTACTGATTTGAAGATATGTAAAACAGTAGTACTTACAATTTTTTCCTTCAAAAAAAAATAGTACTTACAATTTTAATCGCATTTTAATCTTGCATTTTTCTTTCTATTAAATGTTGGACTGGTTGTGCCACTTGAGTAGCAGCATTCTTTCTGGAGAACACCTATCACATGAAAATTTGATGGTTAAAATTTCCATATGTGTGAATATGGTAAAATGGGTGGAATAAATCAGTAGATGAAGAATCCAATGGGTAGCTAAGAAGTGACTGCAAGTTTGTAACCCATCATGCAAAAGCGTTTCCTCTCCAAACATCCTGCAGCTTGCAAGAATGAGTTTCCATATTTCCCAGTATCCAATTGTCTATACCTTGAAGGTGGGGAGTGGCCTCCACATATAGCACTTAATCTCTCTATAAAATCTTAACGGAGATAGCTATAATTAGGTATGCTCCTCTATGGTCAGCTGGATACGCATCAAGATTATTTTATTGGAGGATGGTCAAAATAGATCTGACTTTGATATCCTCATAGACCACAAAAAAAAAGAAAAAGAAAAGGAAACACAAAACCTCAAACTTAAGTATATGGCTGTCATTTATACTCTCTGGAGATTTTGTCGTATTTGTAATTCTCTATAGCTTGATAGTATAAGGGACAGTTAACCATCAGCAGAAAAGGTATGAACATGGATAATTTGAAAGATGGGATGATTTTTTGATAGGATTTCCTATGGTGGAGAAGGTGGCTATATGCCTCTTCTGATAGGAATAGTGGCAGTACTGAGTATATTTTTTAATGGAAAAAGTTTATATAAGGCTGCAACCATAAAATGTAGAATTACAGATGCACCTCAAAAGTCCATTGGAAAAGGTTGTTTTAATGTTGAAAAAGCCTCTAATCAATCATCTCAACATCGAGATATATGAATTAAAAAAAAAAATTTGAGTCCCAGAAACAGTGCATCTTGCAATACATTATCTAGACCGTCCATTTTCAATATTTTTATATGTTTATAGATCTACTTGATTTTAACCATTTTTGGAGTTTAAAATTTTATAGTTAGATTTGAAAATAGATTTTGAGAAAATCCTAAGAATTTTTTTCACCAAAATTACATGTTAAGATAAAATTTGGAGGTGTGCCTTAATTGGATTGTTTAAGGTTGCCACCTTATCGAAACCACACCCTTTTGGAAACAACCTCAATAAAAGTTTGCCTTGGGTATATGTTTTATCCTAGAGAAATTGTGAAATATTAAAATATAAAAAAGACGATAGGGGTGTGATATGACAGTAAAGTGGAACTTTTATCAATTGAGATGATCCACGTCATTAGTATAGTTTGATTTTATGAGGAAGATATTTAGGTGAACTTAGGAAGGTCTAGGGTGGGGTAGGGTTGCACATGCCCACTTGTGACTCAAAAGAGATTCTGTGACATTACTAATGGCTGTTAAATGTATAAGATTGGTTTTGGCACCCTCTTGAAAGCTTGGTGAGATTATGGAGGAGACTTGGTAATTTGGGATATTTCCTAATACTTGGATTCACATTCCGCACCATGCACTGGGATGATATTTCAGATACTGACCTGCTGACTAATAGGAGAGTAATTATGATTTGTTCTTCTTTTGGAGTCATTACTGTCGTTGTAGTCCTTAGATAAGAGTCTTGTATGTTGATTTGATGATTAATTTCCAAAGTGATACCTTAAAAAAGGGGGAGACCTTTTATGGACTATCTAAATCCCAAACGATTTCATTTGAATCTATCATCTTTAATTGCTTGCTTCTGTCGAAGGCAGCAGAGCTAGAGATTGAAGCATACCCTTTATTAGACGAGCTGACCTCAAATATCAGTACCCTAAACTTGGAACGTGTACGCCGATTGAAAAGCAGACTGGTTGCCTTGACTCGTAGAGTTCAGAAGGTGAGCACTCTCGTTTTTATCCTTTTTCTATCAATCTCTAAGAGGAAGTAAACTATAAATCCATAATTCAGTGGAGTAATGGACTAAGGAAGATCCATCGGGGCCCCACGAAAGTGGAACCCCTGAGCATAGGACATGACCCTGATTGTGGGTCCAATATGCGATCACCGTCCATCATTCCATTGGGTGGTGGTGACCCACCGGCGTTTTCCATTGCCTAATGAAATGTATGTTTTTCTGTCGTTTAATAGGGATCTAGGCATCACCATTGTCTGTTTCTATAGTGGAAGCTTTTTAGCACGCATGCCATCCTGCTTCTTACTCTTAAAGCTAATCGTGTAGGTTCGAGATGAGATTGAGCAGCTTATGGATGATGATGGGGATATGGCTGAAATGTACCTCACAGAGAAGAAAATGAGGGCAGAAGCAACACTATACGGGGGTGACTCATCCTATATAGGATACAATACTCCAGGTGGGGGTGTTTCAGTTTCGGCTCCTGTTTCCCCTGTTTCTTCACCCACTGAGACAAGGAAGCTCGAGAAGAGCTTCAGCCTAGCAAGGAGCCGGCATGATAGCATGAAGAGCTCAGATAGCACCACTGAGAATATAGAGGAGTTGGAAATGCTCTTAGAAGCTTATTTTGTAGTCATTGACAGCACCCTCAACAAATTGACATCGGTATGTTACCGTGATATCAGGGTAGTATAAGGTACACCAATGGACTGAGGAGAACCATAACCCCATGGGGTCCTCATCGTTTGATGGAATGATGGGTGGTAACATAGAGAGAGTTGGAGCTAATGGAACAGGAGTTTACCCTGATGGTGAATCCTGTCCTCTCTATCCCCACCAATCATTTCAACAGATGGCAATAGACTATGTTTTTACGCTGTCTATTGAGCTGTAGTCACCTAACCTAACATGATCTCTTGTCCTATTTTTAAATGATTGTTCATGATTTATTTCTCCATTTCCTTTGAATTATAGTTCCCTACGTTTTGATTTCTTAGAATTCCTCATTGTTTTGTTTCATAATTGTTTTTGTAGCTCAAAGAATATATTGATGACACAGAGGACTTCATTAACATTCAACTTGTAAGTAACTCTTGTTTCTCTCCATCTGTGTTATTAGCTAACAATTAATAATGCCTATGAACAAAAAGAGTAAAACACCTCAAAACTTGAAAATATATTAGATATCTGGATAGCAGAAGTGGATCCAGCCTCGGGTGAGTTTTTCACCAAACTATGCATTTATGGCATGACTGAGATTTAATTCTCCTTGTTGTAATATGTTTATGAGCTACCTCATTTTCTTCCAAGTGTTAACCATGCAATACAAACAAAACGAGATCCTATCTTTTCCTAACTGTTTTGTGAACTTTGCTTAACCTTCACTTTCAGACATTGGTTTATTTCTAAAATGAAACCAGGCCTCTCTCTCAAAAAAAAAAAGGTTCTTTATTTTCTTAGTTATCATCTCATAGGAAGGGGATATGCTTGAGAAGCACATCAACATACACATATCTCCATGCTAAAAGATGAACTGGTGGACTTAGTGGAAACAATATACTGTAACAATTGGGTCAATTTCACCATGTTTTTAAAGGACACTGTATTTTTTATATATTTCAGGACAATGTTCGAAATCAGCTTATTCAATTTGAGTTGCTGCTCACGACGGCAACATTTGTGGTTGCAATCTTTGGCGTTGTAGCGGGAGTCTTTGGGATGAATTTCGACGTAGATTTGTTTAATACGCCAGCCGCATTTAAATGGGTGCTCATAATTACTGGGGCAGTCGGATTCACCATCTTCTGTGGATTTTTATGGTTTTTCAGGCATAAAAGATTGATGCCCTTGTAGCCAAATTATTAAATGGGATCGAAAGTATGGGGCTGAAGCTGGGGTTCTTTTGTAGAGACAGAAAATTGAAAAGAAAATGGAATGAGTCATATCATTGATAATCAATGTCAAAGGAAGATTGCATCAATTTCTCATAAAGCTCATGCAATATAGGCAATATTCTTTCGCCCACTCGCCATATTATGTATTTCTTATGCATGATTTTATCCCATTTGATTGGAAAAATGTTAGCAAGCTTCAATAACCTCGTATTTGCAACCAAAAACTTCAACTAATCAGGCAGAATCAAGTACTTTGACAAACGGGAAAAAAGAAATGAAAAAGCGCGAACGTACTAACCTTTATGCAAGCTTACAAGTTTGGATGAGGTTTCTATGAGGCCTAGGCTTTATGAAATGAAATAAAGTCTCACCTTAAATCTTCGCCTAGAAAGTACTCTCAGAGACTGAAATCTTTATGATTGCTTTAAAAATTATAAAGATCATATGGATTGTGAGTACCTATTTTTAAAGCAAGATGGATGGTTTAGATAATTTGTTATAATATACACTATTTTTAGAACTTGAAATCTCGTTTTTTTTTAAAACCATTATGTTCAAGTCACAATGATCGATGTAAAGGTTTTTCAATGCTTGACTTGAAATATTCAATGAGTTATGAGGTGAGGATTTACTTATTTTGACAGGGCCCCTATCAAACAATTTTCCTTCAAGTTTTACCACAATGTCTACAAACCTTAGAATTTCAAAGCCGGGTGCTATTTTTTTTTCACATCAGTATGAGCCAAAACATTGATGAAGTCAAGATCTCAAACCAACTACCAAATCACAGATATGATTAATTCCTCTATTTGTGAAAAAGGTTCAAGCAAATTGTCATATCCAACATACCAAGAGTTGGTAGCTTAAAGGAAATAGCTAGGGCTATGGTCTATTATCACATCCAACATCTCAAGAAAGGGTAGCTTAAAGGAAACACCCATGGGTATAGCCCAAATCCTAATTGGAGCCTAATGTGAGACATATCGGTTCGGATATTCTACCTAAAATACTCTCCTAAAAACAAAATCTCCAAGGAAAACTGAAGTATACAGAATCTTCAAGGGAAAATAAAACATCCAACAGAGACGACGACTGATTGAGCCCCATGAAACATAAGGTACATAAAGTTTCCAGACTATCCATCATTAAATTGAAGGTGAACTTGAAGAAAGCCTCTCACTCCGCGCTTTATCTGCCCTTTCCAAGTAATCTTGATGAGATTGATGCTTTGTTCCTACAGGAAGAAACCAGAAAAATAAGTATTTAAAATCCATATTAAAATATATATAGCACCGATGAAAAAGAGACCTATTTTGGAAAAATATACAGAACAAAATCTGTGTATGTCGTACAGCATGGAGCCAGTGCATCATCATCCAGAGCTGGTTATCAATGATGGAAAATATTAACCAGAGTTCTCATTCACTAGTCATTCTCAACAATGGACGGTAAAGATTAACCGAAGTTCCCAATGATGAAATGGTTAAAACTCCACCACTCACAGAGAAGAGAAGGGGGACTCATAAGGTGCAACCATATGCCCACACACAGGCTACGTATGGTCACTTTTCCATCGCCTTTTACAGAACTATTTCAAGACAGACCAGTCAGTACATTTCTAGACCATGGCCATTGGTCTTTTGATCTTCACTTGTTATTTAAATATATAACAAATTCATGTACACATAAATTTTGCTAGAGAAGTACATGAACCTGAGGTCTAGATAAAGTAAAGAATAACAAAGTCATCAACTCAATAGCTCACAAGGTGACAAATTTATCTCTTCAAAGTCTGATCTGTGTTAAGGAAAATGGGGATAATATAGATTGATCACTGCAACAAACTGCACAGCAGTTTCAAGAGTATTACTTTCACAATATATGAATGCGAATGGCTACCTTAATAGAGTTGGAAGATAAATTTTTTGTAAGCAGCCTCTTTCATTCAAATAAAACAGTACTTATAGTATCAGATATTATCTCCTGAGCAGCAGGGATATCAAAAACAAAGTGGGGATAGCAACAAACCACAAGGATACTTAGGAAACACCAGATTGAAAAATACGTGGCTTGGCCTCCCATATGATATTCTTCTTTTATAAGTTCCTAGTCATGTTAATTGAACACTACTTCTCAAGAATTAATCGATAAGGTCGAATCACAAAACGCAAAGTTTCACTATGGTTTAGCAATCAAATTTGCAGAAGCAAATGTGAGAACCATTACAACTATTGTATACTTAAAAGGACTAGAATTGTGAGATTTCTAAGACCCATTGTAAGCTAGTTATAGGGATTATCAGCCAGGCTAACTTCTAATGAAAGAAAAAAATGCTTCAACGTCTCTTCCTCTTCACCACCCATACGTGGCCTACAAGGAAACCACATAATACATTTCTTAAATGTTGGACAAGCTGAAATGCCTAACTGGTAAAAGAATAACAATAAATCCAGGGCCACTAGGGTAAATATTTCTCACTGGAAAAGAACCACCCACAAACAACCTAGGAGACTCAGCAGAGGGGGAGGATGGGGTGGAAGTCTGGAAGAGTCACACATGCTACTTCTTGTACTTGTTTTATGTCTATTTTGTCTCGGTTGCCATGCATCGTGTCTGTTTAGTTTGAGCAGAGATCATTCCAAAAAAATCTTTGAAATTGTGAAATTATCAAATTGTATGCTGAATAGGGCAGGTCCATTCGCATATAGAAAATTAATATACATACCAAAGAGTATCCAAATTGTCTTAACAACATGTCAATAAATCACCTTTACACACAGACTTCTTTATTTTAACTGACTTCATGATACACAATCTAGCGCATCATAAGAAAAGGTTTTGAGGTAATTGTGATCAATAAATTTACCAACTGCTAATAATTTAATAGGTAAAGAATATGAAAAATATTCTCATAAAATAAAAGTAGATTATTTAGGAGGAAAAGGAAGTCCCACGAAGTACTGATATGGATTTCAAGATAGGATAGATTGGTGAGACAAGATTGCAAGAAGAATTTACCAAGCAGATAACTTGACACACCTACACTGATTAACCAACTCAAGATACAAAAAGAGACCTAGAAGGCACTTGGATGGACGTTGGCAAAGACCAAATAAGCCTGTAGATTGCTTTAACTCTGCGAAAACCAATGCCTGAAGAGACATTGGAATTGTAGTGATTAGCAATTGATAAGTAAAAGATACTAATATATGCAACAATACACAGTAGAAGCCAGCATTTAAAGCCGAATGCAACATCCACCAAGTAGATGACATGTAGGCACTGCCCAAAATTTTTTGTGGTGATGACACTGAATTGTATCCTTATTGAGGCATTGAAAAAGCTGACAAAGTACCAAACTTTGCACCAGATGAAATGTCACTAGTACAATTTAGCCTTTTCTTTTATTGGAAAATCCACTCTAAGCTTGTTAGAAGGAAAAAAAAAGGGGGGGGATTCAGGTTGTTTTTCTATTGCTTGGAACCCAAAAGCTACAAAAGTTTGCAAGGGACACTAGAATTAAAAAAAATAGGCAAAGCATCCCGGAAGGGGATAAACCAGACAAGTTGAGCTTTTAGATTGCTTGGCTGAAAAACTGAAAGAAAACTCAAGAGAAAATTTATTCAAATTGTCGGTCTAATGTCATTTCCCATTATAAGCCTTGCCAAGAGAAAGAGAACCATCATAAAAAGTTCCAATAACAAACCAAACGGTGCTGAAAAGTGAAAGTCCATGGCCATTTATTGATTCCATTTCACACCAAAAAAATTAACCAGTGCCCTAACTAAATTTGGGTTCGCTAACCTCCAAAGACACATTTTCTATTATAATTCAGCTATTTACTGATCCTATATGTAAACTGGTTCTCTCATTTTTGCTTCTTTTTTTTTTTTTTTAATTAGTGCTCGATTTAAGATCTGCGATACATAAATCGAGAGTTCTTTAAAGAGTTAACTAGACATCCAAAAACACATGTTCTATCATTTATATTTTCCCAGTTATGCAAAACAATGAGGCCTGAGATAGGGCAACCCCAGAAGGGCATCTCCAACATGTAATTGAAATTCACCTTTACAAATTAATTCCTAGCCGAATTCTTTTTTTCTTCCTAGTCAGGTTCTTTTTCCTAACAGCTTATTGTCAAGTACTTAAAGAAATACTTATTATTCATACAGATCATGGGCACACCGACATGACTTTTCTGACAAAATTTACATAAAAAATAAAACTAAGATTATTTATGTAAATTATGTATTCCCATTCCCATTTAAAAACTCAGAACCAAGTATCACTGTGGAAAAAAAACAACCTTTCTCTACAATTGAAAACACCTCAAAATATTTAATGCTCTTTCTTTTACATATAAACACAGTTTCTTTCTCATTGAGTAAGCGTGAATGTAATCCCTGGATACTGAATGAAGATTGATGCATCCCTAAATCTATAAAGGTTCTTGAAGGTTTCATAAAAACCTAAAACCAAATTAAGTCATTATCCTAGGAAGTTCCTAGAAACTTCTCTAGAAATATCTAGCAATAAACTATTGTTTAAGGAAGTATCTAGGAACCGTCTAGAAACTTCTCTAGATTATTTAGGTAAATTATGTATTCCCATTCCCATTTAAAAACTCAGAACCAAGTATCACTGTGGAAAAAAAACAACCTTTCTCTACAATTGAAAACACCTCAAAATATTTAATGCTCTTTCTTTTACATATAAACACAGTTTCTTTCTCATTGAGTAAGCGTGAATGTAATCCCTGGATACTGAATGAAGATTGATGCATCCCTAAATCTATAAAGGTTCTTGAAGGTTTCATAAAAACCTAAAACAAAATTAAGTCATTATCCTAGGAAGTTCCTAGAAACTTCTCTAGAAATATCTAGCAATAAACTATTGTTTAAGGAAGTATCTAGGAACCGTTTAGAAACTTCTCTAGAAATATTTAGCAATAAACTATTGTTTAAGGAAGTATATAGGAACCTTCTCTATAAATTTCTTGATAAATCTCTAGAAACATCTTCCTTAGCCTATAAATACCCCCCAAAGGGTCCATTTCCAACCACCAAGAATTGAGAGTTGCCTTTGAGCTTTTATTAAGAGTAAGTGATTCCTCTCCAAGTGGTGAGTGATTCCCTCTTGTTCCTTTCCTCCTTATAAAAAAAACAGTTATTGTTTTGTAGTGGAATAAAATAGTGAGTTTCATTTTATTGTGCGCTATTTCTCAATCCTATTGCCTTAGAGTACATCATTTGGTATCAGAGTCAACGACCCTATGGCTCCTCGAGCAAGACGTGGTCAAGCAGCTACCAATACCCCTACCATGGCTGAGTTTGCTGAGCTAAAAGCATTAGTTGAGGACTTAGTTCATTAAGTACGAAGAAGTGGGAGGAGTTCCAACACTTCTTGTAGCCATGAAGAAATTCTAGTGTTGCCGATGAAAACCCATTTGCACAGTTGATGGACCGCAAGAAACAGCCCTAGAGAGCTTGGCTCAAGCTAGGGAAGGAGGCGACAGAAACATTCGAGTTGATATTGAAGATTTCTCAGGTAAACTCGATCCTGACTATTTTGTTGATTGGATAACAAGTATTGAAACTTTCTTTGAATGGCGGGATCTACCAGAACCTAAAAAGGTAAAGTTTGTTGCCACTAAACTTAAGGGTCATGCTCTAATTTGGTAGCAAACTTTACAAAATGACCGAGTTCGGTGTGGAAAGAAAAATACAAACATAGTAAAAAATGAAGGAGAAACTAACTACACATTTTCTTCCTTCTGATTACAATCCATCTGTGTATAAAAGGTTTCATCATCTAAAACAAAAGGTAGACCAAAGTGTGCAAGATTACACTGAAGAATTCTACCAACTTTTAGGTCGAGCTCAGGTTCCGGAAAGTGAAAAACAATTAGTAGCTAGATATGTTAGTGGGTTAAAACCTATGCTACAAGATGAACTTGCATTACTACACCTATGGGATATGAATGAAGCCTACCAAATGGCCTTAAAGGCTGAACAAAAGTTGAAAAGGCTTTCTTATCTATTAGAACGAAGGAACCCGTCAAAGGCTAAAATTGTCATAGGTACGCCACGAAACACTAGCCTCCAAGACCCTCAAGTATCGAACAAGGATAATACAAGTACCTCAAAGGCTACTACTATTAGAAATCCTTGAAACACTTGTTTTCGATGTGGAGAAATGGGCCATAGAGCTTTTTGAATGTCCAAAGAAGAAACTACATCTTCTAGACCCTATGGGAGAAGAAGAAGTTGATGAGCCAAAATTTGATGGCGATAAGGATGACGATTCTTCCCCTTGGAGTGAGCTACAGGCCGATGAAGGAGGAAGCTTAGTAATTAGGGGTGTCTTGACAGCCCCTAAGAGTGAGCCAAATGCACTGCTTATGGCAAGGTATGTACCCTAATCATTGACTTTGGGTCTTGTGAAAACATAGTCTCTACCGAGATGATAGAAAAATTACAACTTAAGACCGAAAACCATCCACATCCTTATAAAATCGGGTGGTTTAAACGGGGCGGTGAAGTTCCAGTTGACAAAAGGTGCTTGGTTAAATTCAGCATAGGGAAGCAGTACCATGAGTCCATGATAAAATCTGGTGCGATGTTCTTCCTATGGACGCATGCCACCTCATTCTAGGAAGGCCATGGCAATATGACCGTGGTGCAGTACATGATCGCCAACAAAACACTTACTCATTTGTTAAAGATGGAGTCAAGGTACGTCTTTGGCCCTTCCAAGATTCTCCTACTTCAAAGACAAAAATGTCAACTTGTTATCTTTTAAAGCTTTTATGAAAGCAAAAGAGGAAGATTTAATTTATGTTTTAGTAGCCAAAGAACAAAGAAGTGTACCTGAAGGTGTTAAAGACATACTTGATGAATTTGCTGATGTGACCCCTGATGAGTTACCAAAGGGCCTACCTCCAATGCGGGATATCCAGCATCAGATTGACTTAGTGCCAGGTACAAGCCTCTCAAACTTACCCCACTGCCGAATAAGTCCTGCTGAGTATCAAGAGCTCCAGAAGCAGGTTGATGAGCTCCTTAGCAAGGGATTTATCCAAGAAAGCATAAGCGATGTAGCTGTTCCTGCCATGCTTACACCAAAAAAAGATGGGTCTTGGAGAATATGTATAGACAGCCGAGCCATCAACAAGATCACCATCAAATATCGGTTTCCAATTCCACGGCTTGATGATATGCTCGATGAGCTAGCCGGTTCAAAATTTTTCTCAAAAATATATCTACATAGCGGATATCATCAAATTTGAATCCGCCCAGGAGATGAGTGAAAGACAGCCTTCAAAACAAAAGATGGACTCTATGAGTGGTTAGTAATGCCATTTGGGCTTTCAAATGCTCCCAGCACATATATGAGGCTCATGGTACAGGTCATACGCCCCTTTATGGGAAAATTTGTGGTTGTATATTTTGATGACATCTTGATCTATAGCAACAATGAAGAATCCCATAAGGAGCACCTAAGAAAGGTCATTCATGCCTTACGAAGAGCAAAATTACATGTCAATTTGAAGAAGTGCTCTTTTATGACAGATCGTGTAGTCTTCTTAGGCTAAATAGTATCTGCTGAAGGGATTCATGTAGATCTAGATAAAGTTAAAGCCATTGTGGAGTAGCCCACGCCAAAATCTCAACCAAAAGAAAAAAGTTTCCACGCGCTAGCCACCTTCTATAGCCGGTTCATCAGGAATTTTAGTTCTATTATTGCACCAGTCACTGATTACATGAAGCAAGGAGAGTTTCGGTGGACTCAAGCTGCTGAAGAAAGTTTTAAACTCTTAAAACATAAAATGACTGAAGCCCAAGTACTAGCTCTACCTGACTTTTCGAAAGTTTTCGAGGTGGAATGCAACGCTTCCACAATGGCATCAGCGCAGTCCTCAGCCAAGAAAGGCGACCTGTATCCTTCTTTAGTGAAAAACTCAACGCAACCAAGATACAACACTCAACTTATGATATTGAATTTTATGCAATTGTTCAGCACTTCGTTATTGGAGGCATTATCTGATTCAAAAGGAATTTATCTTACACTCGGATCACTCATTATTTAAATTCAGAAAAAAAGTTGAATTCCCGACATGCAAAATGGACGTCTTATATTCAATATCTGCCATAAGTCAGGAGCTATGAACAAGGCCGCTAATGCACTTAGTCGAAGGGCCTATCTTCTTCAAACTCTCACATATGAGGTAGTTGTATTTGAGAATTTACCTCAAAATTATGAAAGTAACCCCTATTTTCAAGAAATCCTAAAGAAATGCTAGACTCAAGGGGCCTATTTGGATTTCATCCTCCATGAAGGCTTTTTATTCAAAGGAAATCACCTCTGTATACCTGAATGTTCCCTTAAACTTAAACTCATTTCTGAACTACATGGAGGTGGCCTAGGGGGGACATTTTGGTCAAAACAAGACCCAAGCTCTTGTAGAAGAAAGGTACTTTTGCCCTAAATTAAAAAGGGATGTAGGAAGATTTGTTGCAAGATGTGGGATTTGTCAGCATGCAAAAGGATGCACACAAAATACTGGTTTATACACCCCACTCCTCATCCCTACAGAACCTTGGGTGGATGTTAGCCTAGACTTCATGGTGGGACTTCCGAGAACAAGGCAAGGGCTGGATTCTATATTAGTTGTTGTTGATCGATTTTAAAAAATGGCCCACTTCATACGCTGCAAAAATACGACAGATACTACTAGGACTGCCATCCTATTCTTTCGAGAGGTTGTGAAGCATCATGGGGTGCCCAGAACCATAACTTCAGATCGGGAGACAAGGTTTATTAGCCACTTTTGGAGAACATTATGGCGACTCATTGGCACTCAATTACAATTCAGTGGCGCCTATCGCCCACAAACTGATGGGCAGACAGAGGTCGTCAATAGAACTTTAGGAAATTTCCTTCGAAGCCTGGCAAGAGATCGGCCAGGGTCATGGGATTCTGTGCTTGCACAAGCTGAGTTTGCGTATAACAGTTCAAAGAATCGCTCAACAAGCAAAACACCATTTGAAAGTGTGTATGGGCGAACGCCATTGCACATTTTGGATGTGACACCGATATCAAACCTTGGACTTTTTAGTGCAAATGCTGCTGATCTGACTGATTATTTGAAAGAAGTCCATGACAATGTTCATCAAAAGTTAGCTGAGGCATATGAGCAATATAAGGCTGCTGCTGACAAAAGTTGTCATGCAAAGGAGTTTAATGGAAGAGATTTGGTTATGGTGTACCTCCGTTGTGAAAGGTTCCCAGTGGGAAAATATCACAAACTCAAACACCAGAAGATAGGACCATGTCGAATCTTGAAGCGCATTGGGGCAAATGCCTATCGCTTCGAGTTACCTAAAGGAATAGGGATCAGGCTAATTTTCAACATTTCTGATTTATTCAAATATCATGGAGAAGCTGATAATATCGACTGGGACGAGGTCCAAGACAATTTACCTGGGCAAGAGAATGAGTGCATTCTGGACATAATTGATACTTGAAATATAATGACCAGTAAAGGACAACTCACTCAATACCTAGTGCGGTGGAAAGACAAACCTGAATCTGAAGACACTTGGCTAATAGAGGAGCAATTAAAAGAGATTAATTTGGACATATGGAGGTCCATGGTTGATAACTCGAGGACGAGTTCTCTTGAAGGGCGGGTGACTGATGCATCCCTAAATCTAGAAAGGTTCTTGAAGGTTCCACAAAAAACTAGAACCAAATTAAGTCAATATCCTAGGAAGTTTCCTAGAAACTGCTCTAGAAGTATCTAGCAAGAAACTATTGTTTAAGGTAGTATCTGGGAACCTTATCTAGAAACTCCTCTAGAAATATCTAGCAATAAACTATTGTTTAAGGAAGTATCTAAGAACTTTCTCTATAAATTTCTTGCTAAATCTCTAGAAACATCTTCCTTGACCTATAAATACATGCAAAGGGGTACATTTCCAACCACCAAGAATTGAAGAGTTGCCTTTGAGCTTTTGTTGAGAGTAAGTGATTACTCTCCAAGTGGTGTGATTACCTCTTGTTCCTTTCCTCCTTATCAAAAAAACAGTTGTATCTTGTTTTGTATTGGAATAAAAGAGTGAGTTTCGTTTTATTGTGCCCTATTTCTCAATCATATTGCTTTAGAATACCTCAAAGATATCCTATTGCTTTAGAATACATCAAAGATTGAAGAGTCGGTGATTGCTTCACATATGTATCAATAAAAGTGCTAAGACTCAGCGATTACTACACATATGTCAATAAAAGTGCTAATATCCAATAATATGGATCCCTTTAATCGCCATGTAATGAGAAAAATAACCAATAAAAGAAAAAAGCCTAGATCAACAGAATAGTAAGAACAAAAAATTCAGAACATATATGCTGCAAAAAACATAAATTCATCAAAAAATAAAAAGAAATAAACACAAAACTCTGTAGTGCTGGGGTGCAAAGGGAAAAAAAGTGCAGAGATAAATATAGTAAATACGAGAGAATGCAAAACATGAGAGTTTACCTCGATTCATGAGAACCCAAGGAATTCCAAATACCACTCCTATAATGGCGATGCCTGCAAATACATGCTTCTTATCACCGCTGTAGAGATAGTACTCCATTTTTGACCGGAACCCACCACCGTTCTCAGCACCCATTCGATGTTTTCAGGTCCCTGCAACTCTAAACCACACAAATAGAGAAGAAAATGACTGCCCCCCTCTCTCTCTCTCTAGAATAAAATGGCTGCCCTCTCTTTCTGTAAAATTGTCTTCGGTGGTAAGAAGGTTTTACGAGTAGCATTGGTTTTCAGAAAAATGCCTCACTTCAATTATTTTTCCAAAAGTAACATTCGAATATGAAAAATAAGTAAATTTTCATGGAGATCATGAATATGAATATGAATATGAATATGAAAAATAAGTAAATTTTCAAAGTTAGAAATAATAATTCCTTTAAAAAAACATTTGAACAATTAGTTTCCCTTGTTATTATTTGGAATAGCTACTTGCATCCTTCTTTAAGATGGATGTTTTACACTTTTTGGACCGCATATGTAATCATGCGATCCGGCCCAAATGAAATAGTTTTTATTTGGGAAATGGTTTGATAGGGCTGCAATCCTATTAAATAAAGACAGTTTCTATGTGGTCAGCCCACATATTGTAGAAATACGGGCTTGCCAATAAATATATTTTTTAAATATAATTTGATCTTAATTTTTAAAGAATATATAATCTTTAACATAGAGATCATGAATATGAAGAAAAATAAATTGACAACTATAAATAATAATTATACTAATAAAACATTTGGACCATTAGTTACACTTGTTTTTACATGAACCACATGTTTGCATCCATCTTTAAGATGGATGCTTTATACTTCAGGACCACATATTGTAGAAATGCGGTATTGTCACACTCCAAGATTTCTAACATTCCCGATGTGCGACAGACTATTCTTATATTAGGAAAAATTCAAATTCATATTAATATATATTGTAACAAAACAAACTTTTGTATTAATCAAAATTTGTACAAAGTGTGCTCACAACTGGTATTAACATGAAGTCTAGGTATACATCTGTTGATAGAACAAAAATTTACAGTGGTGAAGTTAAATAAAAGTTACAAAGGAGAATTTAGTTATGACATGATTGCATTTTCTTCACAACATGGTTCTGATGTGCATTTAACTATGAGACTGCAATTACCCTGAAAAATATTTATCATAATTTGGTGAATATGGCTACTCAGTAAGTGATTATTATGGTCCTAAAAATAATCATAGTTAAAAGATATAAACATTTTCTAAAGAATGTATGTTAAAAACCACCTGAGGAAGAATTGCGAGCAAAAGTGTCACGCCCCAAGAATTTACAATACTGATATTCTTGAGATGTGACAGTCAAAACATATATACATCTCTTGATAAGACAAATTTACAATGGCGAATTGTTACAAAGTAACAAAAGAAAGTTTAAGCACAACTACAATATCTTCCAAAGTTGATCCTGATGAGCACTTAATATGAAACCACAGTTATCCTGAAAAAAATGTTTACCATAGTTTGATGAGTTTGGCTACTCAGTAAGTGATCATCATAATCCTAAAAATAATCATGGTTAAAAGATATCAATATTTTCAAAAAGAACAGTTTCACTTTAAAAAATACATAATTAAGTTTAATCCGAATAATTGAAATGCATATAACATTTTAACGGCAATGCATAATTCAAAAGATTTTACAAATACCCTACTAGCGTCTCAAGTAGGCCACCTATATACCCCATTAGCGTCCCAATGGGTCCACTTAATCCGTATCGGCGTCTCAGACAGGTCCACTTAATCCCCGCAGGTCCACTTATACCTCACCAGCGTACCGGATGAGTCCATTTAATCCCTACCGACGTACCTGATAGATCCACGTATACCTCAACCGGGTGAGTCCACTTGCATACTTAAAGCATTTTTAAATCTCTTTAAACATTTGAAAGCAGCAATATCATGTACTCAACATATCACTGCAATTATTAATATGAATTTCACTGAAACCATTAATAACAGTCACTTTCAATAACATTTAAAAAATAACCAGTCAAATATTTTGGGCTCGAATTCAAAAAGGTAGCAGTTTGTTAAGACATTTTAACATAATTGCCAATCTAATATGTATATAAAAACTCTTATAAAAATCCAAGAATACGGAATTATCACAATTTATGGGACGTCAATTCGCAAATAAACATTTCACAGACAATGCAATAATCAAAAGCAAAAATATCAGTTTTCAAATAATAAGGCAGTCATTTGTACATGAATGTTACAATGTCTAAATATTCAAAAATAGTAAAAAGAAATCTCACAATTTTACTAAAAGTTTTTTTTTCAAAATAATGAGGTCGCTTGCGCATAAAATTTATCGCGCCTATAATTCATGATAATAAGCAGAAGTAATTATTTCATTTCATTTTCAAAAAGAACGGATTATTTTTCAAGATAATGAAGTCACTTACTTATAATATTTGAGAGGCAACTTTCGATAAAAAAATTCTGCTAAAGAGAGGAGCTCACTGCGTTTGTAAGAGGAAGAGCGAGAAAGGAATTGTTAGGCGACGTCTTACCTTCGTACTATTTAAATTATTTAAAACACCTCCACCTCATACATGAGGTGTAGCATTAATAATAAGCTTATAAAGTTTACAACCCATGTCCACTAAAGGACGTGGCAGATATAAGAAAAGTGAAGGGTAAAAAGATATAAAAGTAGTGATGGTCCCTAAGGATCATAATGCCTATATGGACCATCATACTATAAAGAGTTTTTTTTTTATTTTTTTAAAGTTTAGGATTGTTACAAAAGCATTTATGAATAAAAATCGTAATTTTCACAAATCCACAGTTAAACATAACCCAAATGATGGAAATGCATATAAACATTTTAACAGAGATGCATAATTCAAAGAATTTCACAAAATACCCTACTGGCGTCCCAAGTAGGTCACCTATATACCCCACCAGCGTCCTGATGAGTGCAAACAATCCCTACTGGTCCAAACATACCTCACCGGCGTACCGGATGAGTCCAAATAGCCCCTACCGGATAGGTCTAAACAATCTCTGCAGGTCCAAACATACCTCACCGGCGTCCCGAATGAGTCCAAATAGTCCCTACCGGTGTAACCGGATAGGTCCTAACAATCCCTGCAGGTCCGATCATACCTCACCGGCGTCCCGAATGAGTCCCAATAGTCCCTACCGATATAGCCGGATAGGTCCTAACGATCACTGCAGATCCACTTATACTCAAATTATCTATGAAACTCTTTAAATACCATAAAGCAGCAATATCATACATGCAAGTGTCATTGAAGTCATTAACATGAATTCACTTAAAGCAATTTAATAACAATCACTTTCATTGAAATATCTGTAAGTAGCCAGTTAAACATTTTGTGCAATAATTTTTTAAAGGTAGTAGTTTTGAAAGACATTCTTGAAATCTAACACAATAATAATCTAATATCAACAGACGAACTTTTATAAGAATCCAAAATTAAATACGGAATTATTACAATTTATGGAATTGCCAATTTGTAAATAATCATTTCATAGGCAATACTACAATTAAGTGCAGAAATATTAGTTGTTTTCAAATAATGCAGTTGTCATTTGCATATGAATTTTACAATGTCTAAATATTCAAAACAGTAGGAGGAAATCTCACAATTTTACTAAAAGCGAAAATCTCACATTTATTTCTAATAATTTATAGTATCAAGAATTCTGAATAATAGACAGGAAAAATAAATTTATTTCTAAGAATTAGAGCATTTAAAATTCCTAATAATAGATAAAATAATCATTTCACTTTATAAAAAGAAACAGATTATTCGTCAAGACATTGAAGTCACTTACCTATAATATTTGAGAGGGAACTTTCGATAAAATTCGGCTAGAGAGAAAAGGAGTTCACTGCGATTGTAAGAGGGAGAGCGAGAAAGGAAGTTTTGTAGGGCGAGAGTCCTTACCCTTTTTCTATTTAACTCCTTAAAACTTATTATTATATTACTTTATTAAACTCCACCTCATACGTGTAGTACTAACATTAAATGTGTAATGTTTAAAACCTACGTCCGCTAAAGGACGTGGCAATTGAAAGAAATAAGTGAAGGGTAAAAGGGCATGAGAGTAGTGATGGTCCCTAAGGACCATAATGCTTATATGGACCATCATACAATAAAGAGCTCTTTTTTTTTTTTCGTTCTAAAAATTAAGGTTGTTACGTTCTCTCTCCCTTAAAGGAATTTAGTCCTCTAAATTTTGTACCTGATTGCTGAAAAAGATAAGAATATTTTTCTTTAATTTCGTCTTCTCGTTCCCAAGTCGACTCCTCTTTTGAATGGTACTGCCATAATATACGGACCAAAGGAATATCCTTGTTGCATAATACTTGTACCCTTCTATCCAGTATCGAAATTGGCTGCTCAATGAATGATAGGTCCTTCCTGATCGGTAAAGGTTCATATTTCAAGACATAGGATGGGTCGGGTTGATATTTTTGTAATGAGAATACATGGAAGACATTATGGACGTTTGTCAATTCGGGTGATGAGGCAAGTCTATAAGCGACACCTCCAACTCTCTCCAGGATTTCAAAGGGTCCGATGTAGCAGGGGCTAGGCTTTCATTTTTTGTCGAATCTCATGGTGCTCTTTATTGGTGAGATATTTAGGAAAACTCGATCACCTTCCTCAAATTCAAGATCTCTCTGTCGATTACCGGCATAACTCTTTTGCCTACTCTGAGCTGTCTTGAGCCTTTATCGAATTAATGTTATCTTATATGTGGTTACTTGGACGATTTATAGCCCCAAAAGTTTTCTTTCACCAACCTCATCTCAACAGATGGGTGACTTGCATTTTTTTCTATACAGGGCTTCATATGGTGCCATTTGAATACTGACTTGAAAGCTATTATTATAAGTGAACTCAATCAGGGGTAAATGGTCATCCTAGCTTCCTATAAAGTCAATGACACAGGCCCTCAGCATATCTTCCAAGGTCTGGATGGTTCTCTCTGATTGTCCATCAGTTTGGGGGTGAAAGGCAGTGTTAAAGGAGAGTCTTGTCCCCATGGATGACTGTAGCCTAGCCCAAAATTTAGAAGTAAACTGAGTGTCCGTGTCCGATACAATACTGACCGGAACTCTATGTAACCACACTATTTTTTTAATGTACAACTGGGCTAGTCGATCCAAAGTGTAAGTTGTGCGGATCGGTAGAAAGTGGGTAGCTTTAGCCAGTCGGTCCACAATGACCCAAA